ATATAACTACCTAAATTTACGAATACACATAAATATATACATATTTACACACGTATCCACATATATATATATATATATATACTCATATACATATGCATATACATATACACATAAAATTCACATATCCATATGCAAACCCATATAAACATTTTTATAAATATAATTATGTACCTGCACATATGTGTGCATACAATCATCCTCATATCTAAATATACGCCCATATTTACCATCGTATATAAATATCTACACACACACACACTCACACACACATATCTATCTATCTATCTATCTATCTATATATATATATATATATATATATATATATATATATACATATAACATTAAATCATGGCCCAAAAGAATGTATATCAATGTACTTGTGCCCATATACAACTATATATATATATATATATATATATATATATATATATATATATATATATATATATATCATAACTGATAGTGATTTTTTATAAGTAGTGAGTTAAATTGAGATGATTTCTATGTCTGCATTAAAAGATCATCTCATTGTGTTGGTTTAGTAACTCATCAGCATCTTTATGCTTTATCATTAGGATCTTCTCTTTAATACATAGATGACATCAGTCTCCGAAATTTCTTGGAGTTCGAGCCTTAGAGATGATTCTCCATTTCACTTGTGGGGTGAAGCCGTTATATATATATATATATATATATATATGAATAACGACAACAGGAAAGCTTTTCTTTATCGACGTGTTTCGTCTTCTGATGGATTTATATCAAGGTAAGTGAAAGGATTATATATATATATATATATATATATATATATATATATATATATATATATAAATATCCATTTTCTCACCACCAGCTATGGATAAATAGAAAGATAGACTGGGTCCTATAGCCTTGCGTGGCAACCGGTTGAGGAGAAAGGGAACTCTGATTTCAAATCCAGAGGAGGTTGTTTGGGTAACATGCGACACGTTGCGCATCACTTCTCTGTATCATATTTTTCAAAATGTGTGGTCTGTTCTGCACAGCACTCTATGACTATGGGGCTGGAGGTGAATATGAAAAACTTTCCAGGCAAATTTCGTCTAGTGATTGTGATTGTTATTTTTCGGTTGAGGTTCGTGTCGTGTTCAGATCTTCTCATCTATGCATAAAGGTGTTCTACGCACTCATCAAGTTAATTCTGTTGTATATAAATACAATTGTGGTTGCCGGGTCAACTGCATCGGGGGGACTACCCAGCGACTAGATGCGAGAATAAAACAACACGTGCCAATTAAGATCAGGAAACACACTTTGTTTTCAAATGAACTGATCCCAAATACGTACGGATCCTCAATTTGTGAGCACCTTTTAAAAAAAAGTAAGTGTGCGGCTGAATTCAGTTTTAACTGGTTTACTGTTTTGTCCAAGTCACCTTATTTATTTCATCTAAAATTTCGAAAGTCAGTCTGGAAAATCGTCTCTCTGTAAACAGCGTAATAGTTTACTGGGGCATGCTATCATTAATTTCTAGTACTCCCCACTTTTTTTCTTCCTTGTCTATCTTCTCAATAATTATTCGCTAACTTATTGTATTTTTTACACTTTTTCTTCCGATTAAAAACTTTGAAGTGCGGTAGAGAAACCGATTGCTTTCCTCTTTCATTTTTTTACCATGTTTTTAATTATGCCAATTAATATTCAGCAATACTCAAGTTCTCTACCAATAACAATGTTTATATATATATATATATATATATATATATATATATATATATATATATATATATATATATATTTTTGTGTGTGTATAATGTCGGCATGGAATTATTAACCACGGATATGCGAATTAAAGAAATAATCTAGTTGAGTAAAGTCAGGTTTATTCTTATGAACTGTGATTAAGAATTAAAATATAAGAACTCGTTAACCACAACTATAAGAACAATTCCAGATGCCTCTCTATCGAACTTTCTCCGTTTTATTGAATGGGATTTTCTTATTGATATGTGGATACAACTTTCTCATCAGGACCTGGAAGAAAATGTCTTTGAAAAAGAAAAGGGCTTACTGGTTGCATCAAAAGATCAAACGCTGATAGTTCGTGTAAACAGAAATTGTAAAACCAGGGGATCTATAGAAGGGCGTCGGCGTTTTTGGAACAGATAAAACATATAAAGATAAACTGTACAGTGGTTACAACAACTGAATATCTAAGAAGAAGAAGATTGAAAGTTTGTACGCTGGTCAATTTGCAGGTCAGAAAACTAGTTCAATATACAGGCCGAGGGAAATGATTCAATGTGGAGGTCAATGGAACAAGTTCAAATAATAGTTCAAACATAATAACATAGAGCATGGTTATAAATATGGACAACGTTTTTACAGATAAATAACCAGATATTTGAGCCTAAGAAAAGAAAAGGCATGTTGGCAAATGACTAGAATTATGATGATAGATGTCATTTAATCATGATGGCAGGTGATGTGAATCTACTCAAAATAGAAAGTTAATATTTAATGACGTATCAGGATTTGGAGATTGAACCGTCATTCTATTAAGCGCCACTGAATTTATTCTTCTTGTCATTGTTATTGCTCCTTATGACGTTTAAAATAATCTATCCTATAATCTCCATCAGTTTGACTCGCTAAAAAAAAAGTGGTGTTTTTTGGCTCTTAGTATAAAACCAAAAAATGTTAGCACAAAAAATCTTTAAATTTTTGTAATATAATTTTGTTCTATTTTGTGCAGCCAAGCTTGTGCTATCAATTTTAACCTGGAGATTTTCTCATTTCCTTTATTTGTTACGGTTCGTGTTGCGTAGCTCCTTCTCTCATGCTGGGAGGTGAAATTCGCCAATTTAATACAACATTGTATTCTCTCTTTCTTCTCTTGTCTTCTCCCGTCCGGGTGGCGAAATATTCTTGAGTCAGAAGATGAAAAAACCTCAACACCGGGAATTTTAACTTCACTAGTTTAATAACGTCGACGTATACAACTTCTAAATATCCAGTAGAACACTCTACCTACCCCACACCGGTAAGCAGTATCCAGACACTTTGCTTGGCGTGTAAGAACCAATTCCCTGAAATCACTTTCTCTATCTATCGTTATCATGCTGGCACAGCCAATCAAAATCAACTTCTTTGTTTTGTCTTCCATCTGACCTCAAAGGTTAATCCCAAATATATAACTCTAAAATCGCTTCTACTCTTTTATGTCTGCAAGGCGTGCTCCTTATTTTTTTTCGTCATTGTGTTTCGGTCTCATGAAAAAAAATAAGCATAAACAAAAATATTCTGACCAGATTTTTCATACTTCAAAAACACTTTTTTAAAACAAAAACAAAATAACTTAGTTCCATCTTGATTGCTAGCTTCCGTGAACCAAGTTCAATGCCTCAGACGATAGTCTGGATACAAATCACTTCAATAATGAACTTTGATCTCTCCAATTAATTTTTCACCCAGGTGTGTAGATACCACCTCTGAAACTCAATCCAACACCCCTAGCACACAGGACCAGGGAAACAATAGTAGGCCGCCCCAATATCAAAAGGGAGTCGGTCCAATTAAAAAGGAAAGGAATGCGGTGTTGGACATGTAGCCGGGTTAGTCATTTTGCCGCGAACTGCCCTGGGAGAAGGTGTTTGTTCTGTAATGAACCAGGTCACATGAAAAGAACTTGCCCCTATAGAAGTAGGAGAGGGTGAATAAAGAAAGGAGGTTGAGATAGAGGTGGCGGACCTCGTTTTCTACAAAACTCACCTGAGAGAAAGAAACTAGCGGTGGAAGCCCTATTATAGTATAGTGGAACAGACGGGTCCAGTATCAATTGTAATCTGGGATCAAATGGCGAGGTGAGATAATTTGTCGTTTGCCGTTCGCATTTCCCATCGTGCATGTTCAAGGCCGGGGGTCATTTTGGTCGACGGAGAGATATTGAGGAGTAATTCTCGCGTCCCTTCCAAGCGCTCTCTTCAGCGATCGATACTAGCGTCGAAATCCTTGCGACTCGGTGCTCGAATCGGACTCGTTCGTTTGTTACGCGATCAGGAATGAGGAGTGTTCCAACGCGCTGTCGTTCGCGGGCGCGACATTTCCATCGTTTGCCCGCCGCCTCCCAGGTTGTCGTTTCGTCGTTTGAATCGCCGAATACTGTTCGTCCTACGCTTCTTGGCTTTCTTACGCGTTAGGAAAACAAATTGAGGGACCGTCTACGTGTCGCGAAGATCTATCCCCTTCTATCTGTGATGCCGCCGCCGCCGCTCCGTCAGAATAGTAGCTCGTTCGTTCCGGCAGACCCCGGAAAGCTTGCTTGCCGATGTTCGCCTCCACTCCCTGTCGTGTACGTCTGTCTCATGAGGTGGTGTTGGTGACCCAGGGACGTCGAATGGTTTATCATTGGTCTCCCGACGCTTTCTCAGGCTTCTGCCAAACTTTCTGTCCGCTGCTAACGGGTCTATTATCCACGCGAATCTCGGCCGTCAAGTCACCATTTTGGCGGCGTCGAAACTTTTGGAGGTCGTAACACCCGCCCGCCTTCCTCTACCGACCGCCTTCTTCCAGCAGTTGTACGCATGTGCCGACATCCAGCGGCAGCAGCATTTTGTCTACCTCCACTTGGCTCGTCGTCGTAGTCGTCGTTAGAGACGCGTCTTCTGCTCGTCGGTTATATGGCGGCAGTTTCCCAGAACTCTTGCTCGCCCCGACTGGTTTACGATTTCGTTTCCGTTCTTTATTTGCTCCGTCGTTTTCGGTGGAACTGTCGTGGTCGTCGTTGCGCCTCCCGCCTTTTCGTCTCTCCTTCGGTCACCCGAGTTCGCGTCTCTCACGCAGGCGCCGCGTGTCGACGACGCGAAAACGTGAAAGTGCCCAAAAAGCAACGTATTCGTCGTTTAACGATTAAGCGTCTTACGCACACCAAAACTGCCAAAATGCGGCACGCGCTGCGCATCTCGCCCCCGTGTTCGTTGTCGTCGCCGATAACGAAACGAACGCACGCACGAAAGAACGACACTTGGTTGATCCTGCCAGTAGTCATATGCTTGTCTCAAAGCTTAAGCCATGCAAGTGTAAGTTCACGACACGCATTAGAAGGGGCGAAACCGCAAATGGCTCAGGAACCGGACCTAATCCTTGGGACCGTAATCTTCCTCGGAGGCGATGGATAACTGTGGCAATTCTAGAGCTAATACATGTGACACAGGCCGCGATCGGTCGGCCCGTCGTCGTCGTCGTCTGCGTGCCGTCAAGCACGTGGGCACCCGCCTCGACCGTTACAGGTCGCGGCGATACATATTAGACTGAGACCGATGCGCGTCATTCCGTCCTCTCGCCGTCGTCGTCGTCGTCGTCGTCGCCGCCGTCGTCGCCTTCGTCGTCGCCGTTGTTGTCGCCGCCGTTGTTGTCGCCGCCGTCGTCGTTTTTTCCCTCTGGGTGAGCGCGCGGCGTTCTGCGGCGGGGCCAAAGCGCGGCTCGCTCCGCTTTGGTGACTCTGGATAACACACTGGTCGATCGCACTGGCTTTCACGCCTGGCGACGGGTCTCTCAAGGATCCACCCTATCAACTCTAGACTGTTGGTTAAGTGCCTACTCTGGTTACTACGGGTAACGTGGAATCGGGGAATCGGTGTTCGATTCCGGAGAGCGCAATTTACCCACTCCCGGCACGGGGAGGTAGTGACGAAAAATAACGACGCGGGACTTTGTCGAGGCCCCTCGGTCGGAATGAGTACACTTCAAATCCGACGATGACCAACCAGAGAATTGACAGAAGGGCACCACCAGGAGTTGAGCCTGCGGCTTAATTTGACTCAACACGGGATAACTCACCCGGTCCGTACACCGGTAGGATTGACAGATCGATAGCTTTTTCTCGATTCGGTGGGTGGTGGTGTATGGCCGTTCTTAGTTGGTGGAGCGATCCGTCTGGTTGATTCCGATAACGAACGAGACTCCGGTTTGCTGACTAGTTCGCCGATGTGTGTGTTTATTCAACGGCGGGCTCGGCGTTCATCGCAGCGCCCGGGTCCGGGTCGGTTTTCTCACGCACTTCTTAGAGGGATGGGTGGCAGAAAACCAGACGAGGGTGAATGATAATAGGTTTGTGATGCCCTGAGATGTCCGGGGCCGCACGCGCGCTACACTGGAGGTATCAACGGGAACTTTGCTTCAACAGCCAGCGTCGATCATGTCCCTGCCCTTTGTACACATCGCCCGTCGCTACTACCGATCGAACGGTCCGGTGAGGTCCTCGGATCTGGCCGACGCCGCCGTCGGACAGCGTGCACGTGGTGCAGCGGCGGTTTCCGCCGACGTTTCCTGCGCGTGTCGTACTCGCCTCGGCGTTCGATGCCTGGAGAAGATGAACGAACCCGATCGTTTAGAGGAAATAAAAGTCGTAACAAGGTTTCCGTAGATGAACCTGCGGAAGGATCATTATCGATGACCGGCTGCGATTGCGCGCGTGCGGTTTACTCGCGTGTTGCCGTCGTCGCAGCCGCCGCTTTTCTTTCGAAATACCGTCGAATCAATCTCTCTCGCCAGCGTCTTCTTCGGAAGACGACTCGACCACCCGGCCTCGTAGTGAGCGGGTATCGACTTCAAGAAAAAATGTTGGTCAGTCGTGGGGAGCATGTTTTAGTCGGTGAAATGGCCTACGCTGGTTCCGCGACAGCAGGTAAAAAGGCCGCGCCACCGTGCTCTAATGATCTGAAATTAGGTGAGATAAATAACTGGAAAGTGACAAACCAAGGAGCAAGAAAAAAAGGAGGAGGAAAGCAACCCTTGTGGAGCCAGAAGAAATGGAAACAGATGAAGACTCTGGGGAGTAAGAAGAGAGAGAAATAATTCAACAGCCAGTGGAATCCTTCGGCAACAATCTGGGTGGTGTGTTCATGTACCAGCGCGGTCCCAATCGACGGCGGCTAGCTGCGTTCATTCGTCGTCTGTGTCACCGTCGTCTGTGCCGCTGTTGTCGCTACAAAGGCTTCGCGACTTCATCGCTCCGTCTCACCGTCATCGTAGGCCTATAAGAAAAGCAAAGAACCCAAATGACGAAGTCCCGGTTTCTGACTCGAAAACCCTCGAGATGTAGAAAGTGAGTAAGTAGGAAGAAGAGGATTAATTCTTCTTGAAAACTCCAAAAACTACTAAGGGAAGAAATCAGGAGAGATGTTGCGCCAGAGTTACCCCTTAAGCCGAGATCGAAGGGCAGAAGACCCCGAATCGCAACAAAATAATATGGCTCCGAACGATAGGACGAATGGACTCGATGTCCTTGCGCAACGACATCGGGTTCATTAAAAAGCCCACCCGATAACTAAGAGTACGGGTTGGTTGGAGAGAATAGTTTGGATACCGAGTCACGAAGGGCGCGCAAAATTGTTTTTTGATGCTGTCGTTGGTCTGTACAAGGGCCTGTGTATGTCCCGCGGTAGTATTGATAAGAAAGGCCATTTAAAATGAAAGCGCCACGCCATTTAAAACATTACTATTAAACCATTACTATTGAACGAACTAGAGGGTGAGATAAATAAGCTGGGTGTAGCCAGGGTAAAGTTAGCACAAAACTATACCAGAGCAGAAAGGTACCTCAAGCTATTGTATGCTCTGGAATTGGAGACGGCCATAATTGAGGCCCAGTGGAAAAATATGAGGAATTATCTGAAAGGGACTGAGCTGTTGTAACCGAGAAGAAAGAGAGCAGTAGTCTCTATTGTTGGAAAAGCTTGAATGTCCTGTTTGAAACAATGACTGAGTATGACGTCAAGGTTATAAGAACGAAAATGGTAGAATTAGAAAAGAATCAGAGAATCCTAGCACAAGTGGCAAAGGAAATTCTATCGATATTGAATATGACGCAGTTAGAAATGTCGTCGAATAGAGCGAGTATCTATTGGTCGATAAATTGTCTGTGGGAATTGAGACAGGACGTAACTAATAATTTGGAAGCTGTGTCAGCTGAATTACAAGAATTGAGTTGTTTTGTACAACAGTAATTTCAATTAGTTACCCTTACTATCAGGGTGCGACAGACTAGTCAATTCCTGACGATTTAGAGCATGTGAAAGCTCATCTGGCTATATTGTCATTAGGACATTTGTCCCCAAACATAGTGACCGGAGTCACTTGAAATAATTGTTATTGAGGATACAGGTTAGAATTACACCATCATTTAAGATTACCGGTAGACCCCCACCGAAGAGTTTCGGAAATACTACATTGCACTAGCTATTGGTTGTTATTTCTAGTTCATTATTGAACAGAGAAAGTATTTTTGAAATATATCAAGTAATAAACTTACCCATTCCCTATACCCGTGTAAAATAGGAGTTAGGGGCGGCTGCGCGATACCAAATTGGGACGGCGTATATAGCTTTGAATTCAGCTAGGATGATATTGACGACGGAAGAAACAAAGAAATGTCAGGTTGAAGCTTTAGGGAAGTGAATTTCATTAAGTCCCATTTATGTGACGGGTAATCACATGTTCTGTGTGCTTGAATAGTTTAAAGGCAATAGAGAGGGGATTAAGAAAAACTGCTGAGATATTGACAAACACCATGGTGCCATATCTATCCGTATATCCGAAGGAGTCTGAAAAGTATCCGCCCAGAAGAAGATTGAACTGCCCAGGGTGTGTGGAAGAGAACACACTAGGACACTGAGGGTAGAAACCCCCGTTGTCCTTAATAAACCTACCCCTATGATGTTCGGCATTTGGAATATCCATTTGCTTTCCCCCATAATATCAAGCCGAAGAAAAGTATGAGAGAAAAGATTCAATTATAGAGATAATTGAGAAGTGTTGAAGTAACTGAACAGAACTGTGGGAGCCAGGGGTAGTCACATTCTGTGAAGTTGCCCTAAGGGAGATGCTGAAGTTATTAACGTCAGTAGAGAGAATTAGTTTCGATCAATTGAAAGAGAGATAAGATACTTTAGGAGAGAAGAGTAGAGTTTGGAAAGAAAATAGAAAACTCATAATAAACTGGTCCGTATTCGTGGGTACCTTGATAATTATTGCTGTTATCAGCAGTATAAAAGCTAAAACTGCATAGAAATAAATCGTTTCGGCGAAAATGCAGCAACCCGAATAGTGTTCTTTATCCAAACAGATCGAACCAAGACGAAGAAGAAATCAGGTTGAATACCACAGAAGAATTGAAACCAGAGAAAAGAATGGTGACCAAAAAGTACAAACCATAAAAAAAGAAAAGAAAGGAGTGTAGATTGAAATGAAGAAATAAGGGAGGTTGAGACTCCCAACATAAACTGAATAATTCGCTTGTACTGTTAGGAACTGGACTTATGTTACATTGTAGATAAACTCTTTGGTCACCTTCCGACGTCCTTTATGTGGCATTATAATTGCAACAGTTTAACACATATAACTGATGTTTATTCTGTTTATCCAGTACGAAATAAGAATAGATATTATTGCGCTGGGGTGTGTTCTTTGTGCATTTTAGTCCTTCCTTAATTATCAAGCCGTCACTTCTAATGACTTTTACGCGGTTCTGAAGTCAGCTGATTCGTTTTTAATACAGAAATGAAGATTGACATTCCAATAAAGCAGTGTCTCTGGCGTATAGAAGATTTTAGCTGAGAACTTGTCACTATCAAGAAAATAAACTCGGTAAGTTCCCGGATGTTTCAAAGCATCATGTAGTTGGTCTTGACGAAATTGCTTACAATCTGATAAAGGTTTGGCTGCCATGAGCATATTGCCAGAGAAGCACATAACATGCCTCAAATATTTGTTGTTCTGGAGCCAAACATTTTATTATTGCAATAAAATGAACATATCACATAGAATGTAATAAAAAATGGAAAGGCAAGGAATATAATTACCGTAAAAGTGTAAATCGAAAAAAAGAAGAGACAATATATATCTAAAGTAGATATTTGACTAGTAATGATTTGTCATCCTTCACGGCTAAATCAACAAAGAAAAAAAAGGTGTCCCTATCGATTAAAATACATAAGATGACAAATACAGTTATAATATACCCGCTCATATATATATATATATATATATATATATATATATATATGAACATTGAAGTCAACACTCAGAGGCGCCTATGACTTCAATGTTCACTTTTATATTTATATTTACATACGCTCTATCTCTGATATTGATCACTTTATCCCATAAATATAGCAATATAGCACACCTTAAAACTATATTTCTTCATATATATATATATATATATATATATATATATATATATGTGTGTGTGTGTGTGTGTGTGTGTGTGTAAATATAAATGATAAAATATATTTTTAAGGTAAAAAGATAATTATAGGTAAAAGTGCTTAATATCTTTCATTTAATAAATAAACGGATCATCTACTATATATATATATATATATATATATATATATATATATATATATGTGTGTGTGTATTTATATATGTATGTGTGCGTGTGTGTGTAGAAAAGTGAACATTGATTTCAACACTCAGAAGCGCCTCTGAGTGTTGAGTTCAATGTTTACTTTTATATTTATATTTAGATACGCTCCATCTATCTATCTATCTATCTATCTATCTATCTATCTATATATATATATATATATATATATATATGTGTGTGTGTGTGTGTGTGTGTGTGTGTGTGCATGTATTAGGTATACAAAATTCAAACCTGTTTACAGAGAGTTTATTCTAGGTGTTTTGATAATATTGTTTCCAGCACATTCAAATAGAATTTTCAGTGCATCTTACACAAATCAGATAACAAGTCTTTAGTACAGGATGACTTACAGTTAGAATTATTAAGTGTTCAGCAATCGCAGACCTGGATGTATTAACGTATATATACACATAATTATTTTGACCTTTTACCATTATAGATGGTGCATGCTGATCTAATCTAACTTAAAATCTCTGACTGATATTTAAAACTGGAAGCAATTAAACGAATCTGCTGAAGAGGCAAAAGAGCTTCACGAATTGATTGCAACATCAGTTTCGTAATAGAAATAATACACAGGAAATGGCAGATATTGTTGTACCATGTTAGAAATTTATTTTGAAATCTCTCGCTATCGTCTCCAATCGTCGGTTTATGGAAATAAATAGAATATTCTTGCGGACTAATTAGTTTAAGTTTATTGAGTCGAACCATTTTAGCATTAATGCAACACCGTAACGATATCTGTAACCATCGAAATATTTCTTAATACAATTTCGAAATTAATTCTGGTTTTTGAATAAATTAATAAGACATGATTGAGCAAGCTGTTAATGAAATTTAATTTTAGTTGCTTGGAACAAAATGGTTCCATCTAGTATATAAACTCGTGAACATGTGTTTATGTTACACTAGCATAAAAATAATCGAATCCAATTTGTGCACTCTCATTGTTCGACTTTTCACAGGTGATTCGAAAAACTGGTTAATAATTCAGTCTATGCTTTATAAGAAAAAACACTCAGACTTCGCCTGACAGTTGAATACACAAAAAGTGTCATCAACATAACTAAAATAAGAGTTTAACTTTTTAGTCTAAGGAAGTAAATCTTTCTTGTAAAATCCAACAAAGATATTGGTCATCGCAAGATCAATGATCGAACTTTGGAAATTCGATCCATTTTCATATACTGTATTTTGATAAATTTCAACAGACATGGCATCAAACAAATGAAAAAAGCTTCTGGAATTAGAGATGGCATGTACAAATGATTGCAATACAAAGCCTTAGCACAAATATCATTAGTATCCTGAAGAGAAACACAAATAAACAAATAGTTGCTGACAGCGGACTACATAAAGTTATTATTAACGTAGGGAAAATTGTGCATGAAATTAGGAAACCTAAATTAATCGTTAAAAGGCAGTTCACTGAATACATCTCTGTCAGCAATAGCAACAAAGTAGCTAATTATTTAACCAATTTTATTCTGGACAGAACACACCATAGGCTGAAAATTTTGTAAAGGAACGTAGTCCTTATTAGTTTTAGGAGAACCATAAAACTGTGGGTCATAAAGAATCTACCCGTGTGACAACCTCGTAAATATTCACGAGAACAACTTTATCTTTAACCAACTTTTCCGGAAACTAATTTTTTGGAAGCTTAGCGCAATGAATTAAGTTCTGTTTACATTATTTATAAGCGGACTATTTTCTTCATTTTTGTTGTTGTTACCGCAACGCTTCGACCATTTCCTACCTCTATCTCCATCAGGGGTATATTAATTCGGATACCCTACAAGGAATTCCGTATTGAGCTATTTATTTAATTTACGGGAAAAAAAAAACTCTTTTTGTTCCATTGCTAGTATCTATGAATATATCACGTCTAGTCTTTATTTTTAGTTCTCAGTTATTACCGTATTTTCTGGCTTACAAGGCGCACTTTTTCTTCCTAAAAATATCCTGAAAAATACGTGTGCTTCTTCCAAGACGAATGTAAGACAACGCTCAGGCTCAAGTAAGATTGGACAGTTACGTAATTGACTTGACTGATAGGGACTTGGATGTGTATGTTTAGTCATTACACTATAATGTTAGTTATCTATCTAATCCAGCCTTTTGTATGATGTAACCTTAGTACTTAGCTGTTACATGACTATAAACCTTCCTGGAGCCGAGCCAGAACATTAAACATGCTCTGTTTACTAGCAGTATCAAGATCCTTTTTGCTTCTGACTAGTAAGTCATTGCCTGACAAATAAAATCGGACGAGTGATTAATTTAAACAATACGTGGTACCAGTAAGTGCGGGACGCATGGTGAATGTGTTATTGTATGAGAATGACTTTTTTTCTGAGAAATTTCTATCCAATATTAGGGTGCGTCTTCCAAGCCGCAGGGTCTTGTAAGCCGGAAAATACGGTAATCACCCTGTTTACATTGAGTCAAAGGATATACTAAACATCCCAGGGATTGCAATCACAATTACCGCGTCACCAAATTCACGAGCCTACGACTTAATCTACCTTAGTTCTATTATGCATATCTCAGATCTCAATTATAAAAATTTAACATCATCACCAAAAGTTCCATTATATTATTACGATAATCATGACCTACGACCACTCCACTTACACCTTTATCGGATTTAGAAATAACTCTTATTATTATTATTAATATTGATTAGATTTCTACGGCTTATCAACCTCTTACAGATTACTTAAAGCCAGAAAATATTTTTAGATTGGAAGAATTTTTGTCGAGTATAATAATGATTTAGTGTTTCATGTCTTACAAATTGACTCATATCTAGGGGAGAATTCATAACATTCCCAATGGTATTTGCAAAGAAGTGAATATAACGAATCCAATGGGAATTAGAAATCGGATCTCTGATTAACAATTCCGAGCCATTATCCATTACACTGTTTGCACATCCAAACTTACAGCACCTGGTATTCCCAAGTGGTCACCCATCTAAATACTCACCAGGCTCGACGTTGCTTAACTTCAGTGATCGTCCAAGAAACTGTGTTTCAACGTGATGTGGCCGTAAACCTTAGGAATAATAAGAGAGATCTTGCGAATGAACTTCAGGCACCCTTTTTCATTTCTTAATATGAAAGAGGGATATCTTCTCTTTTCTTCGTTACACGAGCAAGATCAGACCGAAAATGGATTACTGCTGCCGTATATGGGTAAGAGCTGCCCAGTCTTAACTTTTCAGCCGCTACAACCGCTTTCCCACAAGGACGAAACGGCGTGAACCTTTCACTACCCTATCGTTATTTCCATGGCGAACCAAGCCCATTCCCTTCGTATGTCACTGGCGTGATGTAATTATACTCGAGCAGATTCATGCCGTGAACCGTAGCTGTGTGGAACCGATTAATAAGAGATTGTTTTTCCGATCATTAAAATTTTAACCTGTTCAAGTCTAGGATTAACCGTTATCTTCACATATCTCCAAAATATGTGCCTCATAATCTATAACCCCTACCTTGAGTTACTCTTGAGCCTTGTACATTTGGATCATCACTATAAAAATAAACTGTATTATGGTTATTATATTTTTAGTTCCCTTCGTTTCTGTCTTACTTTATTTTTCATATGTCCATTGTTTCTGCCTTAATATTATACTTTAGTACCAAGCCAAAATTTAAATCTATCTATCTATCTATCTATCTATCTATCTATCTATCTATCTATCTATCTATCTATCCTTCCTTCCTTCCTTCCTTCCTTCCTTCCTTCTCACTCATTCATTCATATCTCAATTTGTAAACAGTTGTAGGTCGTATTAAGTGTCCGTTTATTTCTCCAGATAATGGTAGCACGCTGTTGTGTCGAATTACATTTCTGCTGTTTGCAAGACAGACTTTTCCGCAGGATTAACAGCCGAAACAAGAATGTAGAACGAACGTCTGTGGCCTGGTCAATAGAGGCTGTACGCTTCTCAGACGAGAGGACCCTGTTCTCGGCCGTACCGAAAATATCCAAAGCAATACATGGTATTACATTTAGTGGGTAGTTTGGCTGCAGGAGATGTCAGAAGACTGCCAGGCGCCATAGACAGGATCTTCTGTCTGGATTTTCTTCCAATAATTTTCCCATGTTTAGATATGATTAGCTCGATATAAAATCCTTAAAATCCATTCGTTAATAATCTATTTCATGAATATATACAAATATTCCTCCCTTCAAACCGATGTTTTTTTAATAAATGGAGTCAATTTGTCCAGGCAAAAGGAAGAAGGCGTGAAAGAAAAAAGCAAAGGGAAAATATATTAAAAGGGGAAGGAGAAAAATAAAATAAAAATCAATATAAGGTTTTAAATGATGGGGTAGGGAAGGAAGAGAAAAGGAAAGGAGGGGGTGGATAAAGAGAGATAAGGAAAGAAAAAAATGGAAATAAGGAAGAAATATATATATATATATATATATATATATATATATATAGATAGATAGATAGATAGATAGATAGTTATTGCGCTAGATAAAGACACTTGATACAAATAATTAAATTGAGGGATAGATTTCTAGAGGATTGGAACTCTCATCTTTATCCGTTTTGGCACAGTTTTGACATCAGGAGTCAAATTGATGATGTGTAATATCATTGTTTGCTGATATGTTGATTGTTTGGAAGTATATAGAACATCTCTTAATTTGCGACTATGCAGGCACATGTTATATATCAGTCTTGGTGCCCTCCCCCACCCCCCAAAAAAACAAAAACAAAAAAAATATGGATAATTAGTAGGTTAGAGATACACTCGTAATGGTGGACTGAAAACTTTGCAATCTTCAGATGCCATCCTTACTTTTATTGCTATTAAAAAACTGCTCAATACAAAGTAGAGCACAATATATTATTATATTTTTATTATAAGAGATTATAATAAGAACATTTTGAAAACGTTACACAAAGGTTTCATATTTCAATACTATGATTGTATTTATTCAGTCATTATACTGAAACATAAAGGTTTCGTGTAGCGATTTCAAAATGTTTTTATTATAATCTCTTATAATATATATTAACTGATTTAAAATATATTTTTTCGCTACACAGTTCTAACCATGTTTCAAAAATGGAAGCTAAAAGCTTTGAATTTAATTTTTTAATTAAATTAAAGACATTAGTTCCATTTCATCCTCAAGCGAATTTTGGAGTAACTGTGAAGTCCCCCCGGTATTGGTCGCGGCACCAAATGTGACGTTCTAACCTTTTAGTGATTCGGATGGGAATCTGGTTAGATTCGATAGCAGCCTTGTAGTTCCCTGCTCGCCTCCAACGCCTGGTTACCGAAGTAACTGATTTGACTTCCAGTCTAACCTACCCACGTTGTGAATTGATCTTAGGCAGACGAAATCAATCAGTCGCCGGGCCGTATTGCAAGTCGAGTTCGAACAAGGGTGATATCGCACAAGTATATGTAAAAGAAAAGAAAATAATAACTCGAAAAGTTCAAATGTATTAAAAAAGGATAACAATATTTTATATATGGTTGCTGAATACAGGACTGCGTCTTCTTCCCAACCCACTATATGGATTCGTGACACTTTGTTTTTGTTAGGCGAGTCTTAACATCTTAAGTTGATTGTTCTTTAAGAAACTGGTTCTTGGTTTATCTTCAGGCGATATTCGTAAAACTTGTTTTGGTGGTATGAGTCTAAGTCGTTCTTCAAAAATAAATTGTTCTTGGCTAGAAGTTGAGGTCGTGATTGCGTGGATATCTTTCAGTCAGATTCCTGCGAGGCTATTAACTCTGTAACTGTCTCTGCCAATTGCCAACTCCAACTGCAACTGAACTGAACTTTCGCTCGCCGCGACTCTGCTTATATGGACGCTGACCAAAACCGGGGTGGGCTTGTAGGGGTTTGAGGTTCCTTGATAATTCCAAACCCACAATCCACTTCTTTGTTTTCGGTCAGGAAAATTTTATTATTTTCCATTTTTGGAAGTCTTCCGTCTTCCCACCTTCTTCTGTTCTCATATTGGTATCTCACCATGCCCTCAGAGGGTGTCAACGGGTTTCCCCTCTCTCTCACAGTGGCATCTCGCACCTATTCCTTCAGGGGGGTGCAACAAGCCTCCCCTCCTTCTTCACATGATTACCTCTGCCTAACGCTCATGCTACCATTCAGCCAAATGGGCGCTCAGCGGCGTGGGTGTGGCCAGACTAGCCTCCGTTAAAAAAATCTTGCTCAAAGAAAAAAAAAATTATCTTCCTTTCTCTTTTTTTCTTTTTCTTTTCTTTCTCTTTCTTTCCTTCTGCCCGACAACGAACCCTTGGTCTCTTATCTTAGACAAATGTCATTTGGACTTTATCACCCGGGCCTTCGCCAAACAAGTGGGTGGTCAATTAGACGTATTTTCATTCTGTTGCTAATTAACTGTTCCGATAAAATAGTTTCGCTATCATAGCCGGCCCTGACGATAAACAGATGCTCCTCTCAACGATATTCTACATATAGACAAAGGCTTAATCTTTCCTTCATGGTAGTCAGCGAACACTTTTGTTTTTCTCGGACAGTGTGTGCTTAATTAATTTTTATTTTTATCTCTTTAGAATTCTGCGGGAGGTAGCTTGTCCAACTTGAAAAAATCTTTTTTATCATTGTCTTACTTGCCGCCCCGTAACATAAATCAGATTAATTCTGTATTTTACTTTCTCGACAATGGAAATAAAAATCTTACCACTTTTCCTTGGCAGAAAAATAACACCGCTTAGTGTCCTTTTCATGATGGCTTCTTATCACCTAAATTTAATTCTCGCCTTTCTTTTTTTCTTCTTTCTTTTTTAGCAAGCCAAATAGTGTCACATAACTTATTTTTAAATTTACTGGGTTTTAAAGACACGGCAAAAATCATAATTTACAGTTTCCAAGGATACAGAGAAATCCATTCATCCAGACAAGGGGTTGCGTGTTCATTTTATTAACTTTTGTTAGTTATTAGTTAAGTTTGAAAAAGAGGTTATGTTTAGGTAGGGGTAGGGATGTATTTTTCAACGAATTCTGACATCCGTTAAATGCATGTCATCTGGATTTTTTTAAATAAAATCGTATTGTTAACGGCAAAAATTCTTCCGGCATTTTTTCTATTTGTATACTTAAAGATTTTTGGAGGATGTTTAGGTTAGAATACGTTTTAAAATATTTTCACTTTTAATAAAAATGAGCTCACCAGCAGGATACGCAGCTGCGTCCAAATGTGAAGAAGAAGCTGCTATTTAATCCACTTTGCCTTAGAGAAAATCAAAACCTTGCTGGGCTTTTTGGTCTAAGCCCGCCGTATCAAACGAGGATTTCTCCTACGAATATATTATCAAATTCAAAATAATACGAATAAACAAATTAATAAACTACGAATGCATACATGAACACAAGTAAATTTAATAATAATTAACAGCAAAATAATTAAGTAACGACTAAAAGGTAACAGCAATATAAAATACCAACAAGTAACCACATTTAGATCGATAATTATTCCTACTTATTTGAATCCTCAGAATTACCGTCTACTTGATAGCATCCAAGATAACACAATGGACCTTCCTATTCATAACGGGCCATTGACGGCATATACAGCCGAGCAAACACACTACACCTACACACATGGCATGAAAATTGCATTCGAGCATTAACTATATTGTTGCCGTCAGGTGTTTACATCAGTATCCATTTTATATTTTCATACGCTATATCTCTGATATTGAGCACTTTTATCCATAAATATAGCATACCTTGAATATATATATATATATATATATATATATATATATATATATATACGTTTCATTAAATAATATAGACAAGTGTTGTCTATTTATTTTATGTAAAATTTTTCGTATCTTCTGATAAGTTTGGTAACATTATCATTAACCGAAAAAAGAAATTCACAATATTTATCCATTATTTTTAATAAAATCTAAGCTTTCGGCTTACTCAAGCCATTATCAAAGATGTAATTACAAACATATCAAACAATATACGGACACGACAGCGATGATAGTCTGTCATTGTTTTGTTTACATAGTGGATTACTAA